CGAGGAATTGTGTTGTACCAGTATGGGTAGTAAGCAGCAGAAGAGTAATTACTGCTTTTTCTCCAGTTGAAGGAAAACCTTTTTCACTTTACACCAGAAATTACACAATTCAATGTCTTTAAATTGTTCTTTAATAGTACATTCTTCAAATTTGACCATTCTTTCTTTTCTATCATTGCATTATGCAAAAATTTATGGTAACAGGATTAAATTTCTTACCCAATTTTACTTTTTTAAAAAACCTTTTTAAAAACAATAAGGAAAACTTTCCTTGCATACATAAATGTTTTCTACTTGTTTTCATAATTCTTCTTTGGGCTTCAAGTTGTAATATTGGTTATACATCACTCATGAACCCATTCTTACTTTGTTTTCTGCAGTAGAGTAAGTGGTATCAGTAAAAAGTCATATATTTTCACTTCGTTCTTTGATTTTTAAGTTCATTTTAGCATGTAGAATGTTTTCTTTGTTCTTTTCTTTCTTTTGTCCTTTCTTCCTTTTTCTCTTTTTGCTGCCCTGCTGATTAAACCCAGGGCCTTCGAATGAGCTACATCCCCTAGCCCAGTGGTGGCGAACCTATGGCACCCATATTGTTTCTGCTTTAAGACAAAAGGTGTTAATGTACAATTGTTTTTTCTAAACTAGAACCTCAGTATTCAGGTTTAGTTGGCATTTTGTGATAAATAAGTGGGTTTTGGGTTGAAGTTCGGGCAGTCATCTCCAAAGTTTGCCATCACTGACTAACCCCCTCTTTTTTTTATTTTGAGAGGATCTTGCTAAGTCACTAAGTTTCCCAGGTGGACTCAAACTTGTCATCTTCCTGTCTCAGCCCATTAGAGTGCTGGGAATGTTTCTTTCCTTTTGGTAGATTTTTAATAACTATTCTTCAGAAAACTGCAAAGAGAGTAATACATAATTTAAAAAAACTAGTTTTTTAGCTTGTAAACTCATGATAAATGGCTCCTGAGGTCAATGGGTAGTCTTTAGTATGAGACCAGAGAGACTGGTTTTGTAATCTCCTTTCTTCAGCTCATCAGCCAGTGAGAGCTGGTGACTTAGCCCTACAGAGATAGACGTCAGCGGACTGAAGTACAGCCAGAGAGCTGCCAGGGAGGAACAAGAAGTACTGAGGGAAAGGGAGTTCCGAATATAGAACACCAATTTAAATTCATTTTCCACATTGTCAGTCTGTGAACCTGGTGACTCTGAAGCCCGTCTTCACGTTTGTTTTACTGAGTGGATTTTCTGTATTTGTAGTCAAATGCTTTACTGAGCTATGCCCCTGACTTTGTGTATTTCATCACTTACTTGTATTTTGAAATTTTTAAGTTTCCCTCCAGTACATCACCATAAATATCCTTATGTGGAAATTTTTGTATGTATTCTAGGTGACTTTGTAGAGGATATTTTTGGAAGTATGATTACTAGATCAAGAGTACAAACTGTTCCTTCCCCCCAACTTTTTTCTTTTCTTTTTCTTTTTTTCCCCCCCTGTACTGGGGATTAAACTCAGGGCCTTCACAGCCAGCTACATTCCCAGGCCTTTTAAAACATTTTTATTTTTATTTTTTTTTATTTTGGGACAGAGTCTATAAAGTTCCCCAGGCTGGGCTCGATATTGTGATCTTCCTGTCTCAGCTTCCTGAAGTGCTGTGATTACAGTCATGTGCCACCATGCCCAGTTACAAGGTCCTCTTATTTATGTTTTTGTGTATTTATTATTAGTATATGTTTGCAGTGAACATTAATTATATTTGTCTTGGAGAATTGGCACAGGAACACACTATATCACATTTTTACTTCCACTTTCCTCTGTTGCTTGCCACCTCTCCCTACCTGATGTCCCCTCCTTGTCTCCACAAAGTCACCTCCCTATTTCCTATGATCTCTCTTTTTTTTCCTCTACAAATTTTATTTTGGGGAACTCCTAATATTTAACCTCTTGTGTCTGATTTACTTCACTTAGCATTATAGTCTTAAGATGCATCTGTTTTCCCTCAGATGGCTCAAATTTATTCTTCATGGCTGAGTAGTATTCCATTTTTTTATCCATTCACCTGTTGATGGGTACATTTGCTGCTTCCAAAATTTAGCTATGCATTGTGTTGCTATTAACATAATATGTGTGTATCACTTCTTTAACTTTTTAAAAAATTTATTTTATGAAAAAAGGTAAAATAAAATTTCATGACAAGATGATAGGAGCACTTCTTTAACTCTTTTGAAAAATAACTGTATGACTGTGTCAAATGGAATGTCTACTTTACATTTTTGAGAAAGCTCTATATTGATTTCCCATAGTGGTTGTAAGAAGGCTTCCTCTTTCCCCACAATCTTGCCAGCATTTGTTATTTTTTGGGTCTTTGATGATAGTCATTCTTTCTGGAGTAACATGAAATCTTGTTTTGATTTGCATTTCTGTAATGGACCAAAATGCTGAATATATTTCATGTACATATTGGTCATTTGTACTTTCTTTGTTCTTGAGACAAGGTCTTGTTATGTAGTTTAGGCTGGCCTTGAGCTCACTTTGTAGCCCAGGCTGGCCTCAAAATCATGGTGATCCTGTTGCCTTAGCCTCCCAAGTGCTGGGATTACAGACGTGTGCCACCATACCTGGCTGGTCATTTGTACTTCTGAGAAGTATCTCTTCACTGCCCCCAAAGATAGTTGTTTTGGACCTTGTCCTTAGCAATAGCCATTATAGTAAACACATTGTCTTTTTCAACATTATCTTTTTTATGTTTGCTGATGATTTCTTAAGTTCATTTTAGTTTCTACAATTATGACTTGTTAAGATGAAAATTATACTGTCAGTTATATAATTTTGATTAAGAGAAAGATCCCAGCCATAATTATTCTTTTTTCTTACACAGAGATGGAATGAATCAGGAAACCAAGCCTTTTACTCTGAAGCCAGTGACTTGATTTGTTTTCAGGACTCTATTAAATGTAGCATAGCTATGTCACTTAGTTTTATTTTTTTCTGGTTCCTAGTTAGGATTTCTTATTACTACTTGATAGTTCCTGCTTTCTGCGATATTTTTATATCAAAGAAATGACATGAAATGAGAGGGAGTTGAGACTGTAGACACACGTAGGCCGTGCCCTGCTATTGCCTTTAGCAGTTGTTATTAATTGTTGGGATTGTCCATTGAGTGTAATAGACAGCAGGGTAAAGCGGAAGGAGCGAGGTGTTGGAGATAGAGAAGGCTGGCTTAGGACTGGGTCTGCTATTTATTGTCACAGTGTGGAGCTAAATAGGTTATTTAACATCTCTTAGCCCCAGCATTCTCCATAAATTAGGGGTTAATAGTGTTCACTTTCTAAAGTTGTTATGAGAATTAAATTGGATTATTTATATGAGCATAATAGCAGATTTTCAGAGAATGTTGGTTCTTTCTGCTTTCACTAATAGAAAAATAGTATTTGAATTTGAGCTAAAAGTTCATGAGATAAATGCAGAAGTGATTTCCTAAGTTTTAAATGCAGACTTTACCTGTAAGTTTTTTTTTCAGTGTTATGTTTATTCCTTTAGATTTCAACAATAGTCGAGAGCTGGGAAGAGCAAAGCCGCACAAGTGCTTCAGCTGTAGTTTCTTGTTCCTGTTTCCTGATGTGGGAGGGAACCATAGCGTGGGCTCTGTACCTTTGTACTTATGCATAGAAAGGGGCAAGAACCACAGAAAATAGGGGCAGAAGTTGAGAGCAGTGGACAAGGAAGAAGCGGGTGTTCACCGGAATGTTCTCTGACCCAGTTCAGCTCATGTGGAGAACTTGGGTGTTCCATTGGTTCCCTTTCTGATGCAGCCAGAAGAGACTATATTTGGTTTTGAGAAACCTAAACTCACAGCAGGCATCCTTGTTTGTTTCTTTATATATTTAGTTTTATTTTATCTTATATCACTAGAACATAATTACTTTCATTAAATGTTCTGCTGTCTGTACACATGTAGTGTGTTCCTTTTGTCTTCTCTGGATATTTAGTCGTGTGCTTCTACCAGGCAATCAGATCCAAAAATTCCAGAACATTCTGTCATTAAAGAAAAGTTTTATTTACTGTACTTAACAAGCCAGAAATAAAAGACCATATAGATTTTAGAAGACTATGCAAATTAATGTTAGAATAACATTTGAGTTAACCTTCGTTTAAGCAGAAAAGTAAATTATTGGAATACTCACTAAACTTCTTTTGATCAGTTGAGCTTCCTCTGATGCTTCTTTGTTCTGAATGTATTGGTTTTCTTTAAAAGGTTTTTTGAAATTTGAGATTTTTTGCATGAAATAATTTTCTTATGTATTAAATAGGTAACTGAAATAAAGAGGGAGCAAAGCATGCCTTGTAAATTTTCCATTGATGAAATTATACTCTAGCTGTTGGCTTTATATTTTGTTGGTGATGTTGAAGATGTCATCTTCTTACAAATGCATTATTGTAAACTTTGTACTTCTATTGCATCATTTGCCTAATTCTCATTTTTAAAGGAAAATTCATGAAGAGTTCTCACTGTACACGGAATGGGAGTTTCTTATTGTAGACTGTATATCATGCATCCGTAGAATATTTATATTTCAGGATACTTACGTTCTTATAACTTAGTAGAATGGACATCAAGCCAATAAGATAATTGTGGGTCTTAACTTTGGAGAATGCCTGTTTTTCTCATTTACTTTGTAGATTTGTTGGTAGGATTAAGTGAAGATATACTATAAATGCAGGTGCTTTTAAAGTTTGGAAGCATTGCACACATCAAAGGAATTATTTGGAACTATAAACATGATGAAAACTGTACCTGAGGATTTTTTTTTAAAGCAGAGGAAACAAAGGAGGGAGAATAATGTGGGGAAGCAACTTCTGATATTTTGAAGATGCGTGTGTAGAAATTATGATATGCTGGAGGACTAGTGCAATAAATACCTAAAAATTCCAAATAGTAAAAAATCTCTTATTCTTGAGCTTTTTACTGTTTGATTGATCTCGAGTTGGATTTATTTTTAAGGATTTGTGTACATCAATGGCAGAATCATCCAGTGATTCAGAGCACTTCCGCTCTTGTAACCGATTGAGTCGATGGGCTGCCAGGTCAGGTCACAGGGAAACTCGGAGTCACCCTACAATAGACGTCACAGAGAAGGTCAACACTATCGCAAGTACTTTACAGGTTAGTTAAATAGTGGTTACATTTAGTAGATTTTAAATAGTTGAGTTGAATAATATTTTCAGTGTATTAGTTTTCTTGTTACTATAGTACATTACCATAAAAATAATATCTTAAAACAACAAAACTTACGATCATATAGTTCTGTAGGTCAGAGTCCATGAAAATGTGTTCCTTTGCCTTTTCCAGCTTTTAGAGGGTTTCCACATTTGTTGTCTTTTAGCTCCCTTCATTTACCTTCAGAGCTGGAAAAGGTAGATTGAAGTCTTACACTGTATCACACCCACCACTGCTGCCTTCCTCACCTACAATGCTGCGGATCAAACACAGGGCCTCGTGCATACTAAGAAAATGTTCTCCCGTTGAGTTATGTCCCCAGGCCTCCTATTACTCTTTTAAGGGTACTTGTGATTTCATGTGGTCCACTCAGTAATCCAGGAGAATCTCCAGACCTCAAGGTCTTTAATCATATCCATAAAACCCCTTTTGTTATGTAAAATACATATACACAGGTTCTGGGGATTAGGACACAGAATTCCCTCAGAACCATTATTGTGCCTACTGTTGTAAAGTAGTGAACTATATGAGGTTGTTGAGAATGTTTTGGGATAAACCAGTATTTCAAAATAAAATATTGTAGAGTTGACATAATTTAGCTCCTCATGTACGTGTGCCTTTAGAGAAGTTTGGTGAAATAGATTATTTATAGGTGAGTAATATATATAAAGATACCATCTTGATCTAGAGGCTAACTTTTCAGTGTTTGGATGTTTGAGTAGAGGCAGTATGTATCCTTTTGATATAAAGTGCTTGGGAAGAATGAGGGAAGGGTAGTATGGTCACAGTAGGAAAAAGGAAATCAGAAATCTAAATTTTTTCCTTTTCATTCATCCCTTTTACCTTATGCTGGAGACGCATGGATCTTGGCTGTTAATTGCTTTCAGTTAGTAATTTTAGATGAAAAAATAGTAGTTTCTGGTGGAAAAGGTACAATTTGATTTAAAAATGAGAAAGTTTATTCTTTTTTTACTGACACAACAGTGGAATACATTTACTTTCCCACCAGCGAGACACATTAATAAGCTAGCATATTTAGGTAGAAAACATTTTTTTTGTTATGATTAGAGGACTAAATTCATTGTTCATAACTAAAGGTTATAACATACTTTTTCTTCTTTCCTCATAAGCAAGTTCTGAGGTAAAGTAATATATACTTGAATAACATCTATCTTAATGATTTGCTTCTCTTGTACAAAATCTACTAGATTTGCTGTTTTAGAATTTCCTTTCTGTATAGAGGGTGTGCAATTTGTGCTTTTATTGTCATTTATTCTTTGGATAAGAATTTATGTGCTTCAGATTTTACAGGAGTACACTGCAGATGGATTTCAGTGGGGTTAAGATTTATTTGATATGAAATACATTGATATTCAACTTAATTGTGTTATAGATTGTACATTTTACACACCGTTGCCTTAGCTCTTTGACATACTGCTAAGATTGAATGGGAAAAATAGTGTTTGAAATAATTAATAGAGGATTTTTTTTCTCAAGGACACCAGTCGGAACCTGCAGCACGTGGACCAGATGCTTGGGCGATACCGAGAGTACAGTAATGAACAGGCGGGTGCCATAAAGCATGTGAGAATGTTCAGATATGTTTGCATTTTTGCTTACTCATTCTTTTGGGAATGCAGTTTTTGGGAGTATAGATATAAGATAAATGAGATAACCATTGCAAACAGCTTTAATTTTGAAACTGCTTTTCTGTCTTATAGTTTCAATTTAGGTTAGTTTATTGGATAGGTTGCAAAGTAGCTTATGTAAGTTAGGTTTTGTTGAATTTGAAAGCTTTAGGTCAGGGAGGGAAGAATTCAGGACATGAATTAAACAGAGACTTGCTAAACTTGGACCACAGATAGTACTCGTATGGAGATAGGAATTATAAGGATGGTCTATTTCAAACTAGTACATGCTCATTGTTTTTAAAAAATAAAACTCTTTAAACCTTTCTTAGTCCCACCCCAATGAGGTAACAATTCTAGCAGTTTCCTGTACATGTATCTTTCTATACATTTTCTATGTATATGTGGGTGTATATGTGATTGTTTAAAACACTGGACTACTATAAAAAATGATGCAACAGGTTTCATTTGATTATATCACTTTCTGTAAAACTTTGTGTAGCTCCCTCTCTTTCTTTTGAACAGTTATGCAATATTCCTTAGTACAGATATATCCAGGCTTTTCTTTGATGTTATAAACAGTGCATTAGTCACCATTATTGTATACATTTTTGTGTAATCTTGTAGGATTCCTGGGAATGGAATTGCTGGGTTAAAGGATATGTGGACTTAGAAGTTCGTTGGACAGTTCAGAAATGCCCTTTTGAAGGTGTTCCAGTTTATGCTTACTTTGCATGGGGATGTAAGAAGGAAAGCTGTGTTAGAATTCCGGCATAAAGTGAATTTTTAAATTAATGCTTTGCCAGTTCTCTCTCAATGCTTTTTCTTCCTCTGGATTTTGCCTACTCTTGCAAAACTTACGTAAACTCTTGGAAAGCCAGTTAAGTTTATTTCTTCGTGTTTCTTATAATGAGTATATACTATAATAAGAAGACTAATGTTATCTTTTTACTATAAAGATTATTTTACATATATCTGTGCTATACTGACTTGTCACATAACTCCCATGTTGTAATTCATGACTTGTTTTCCCTTTAAAAAAGTACAGCCATCGTTATTTGCTTGTTAGTTGGAAACTAATTACTTGAGCACAAGGACGGATCTTCTCTGATAAAGGTTTCTACTGCTTTCATTTAGACATTTTTGCATGTACAGGATTTTTGTGATTTATGATATATTTGAAAGATGGAGCAATAGGCTTCATGTATTTGGGTAGCTCATAAACTGTTTTAGGTTAATTACCTTATTAATAGTGGAATTAATTCTTTGCCTTTTAATTTATTCAAGAAAAATTGAAAGCATTATTGTTAACTAGTAGCAAAGAACAATACTGCATTGTCAAATTTAATATATGGTAGCAGATTTCCTTTGAATTGGGCAATAGGGAAATGAAATTATGTGCCAGGGAAACTTCTGTACAGATAAGCATTTAAAGCATAAAATGGGTTCTCCTGTGGCATTAAGTCTGTGTAGTAGGAGTAGAATTGAATCATGCTTAAGTCTCTGGGGACTGGTTTTATTCATGGGAAGTCAACTCAACAGGCATTTACAGGTATGTCCATCTTAGTTGTAAGTGTATAGACTGTAATGTTACTCATATTAAAAAAAAAGACAGAAGAAAGCAAGCAACTTTGATTTTGCTTTAGGCTGTTTCTTAGTTTCATTTAGTTTTTCTCTTTAGTTTCTCCAAATTTTTCTTCATTAAAACAGTTGATTCTCAGTGATTTTTTTCCCTCCAGCATATCGAAGGGCTATGTCATGCACTGCTTTCTGTTATACTTAGAGTATAGCAGTGATTTTCATCCTGCTATTTAGAAGTTACTGTGGAAGGAGTGCAAGCAGCTGCTGTAACCTATGGGGAGACACAAAAGTGACAGAGTATTTTTCGTAGTGAGTCTAATGGGCCAGCCCTTCATTGAAAACTGCTTTTAAAACAAGATTGACTGCTATGGAATATTATCTTACCTGTAAATCGTTATATATGTAATGTGCCAAGTATCACGTACTTTACCTGAATCTTTCTGTTTATAATCTTCAAGTTCTTAAAGTACATAGTGGGATTATCTTTTTTTTTTTTTTTTTTCTTTAAATCTAGTGCTCTATTTAGGGAGGGACCTTGGAGAGTAACTTTTTTTTTTAAAGACTATATAGCAAATCATACAAATCATCTGCAGAACATGCTTTGCATTTTTTAATTCCTATAATAGGTTAATCTATTTTAACTAGTGTTCAACTGTGAAAAAAATTTTATCATGCTAAATATCTTCTAGTTGTAATTAGCATTTTTCTTTTAAAATATAAAGAGATTTCTTAGAAAATGAAATCAATTCCTTTGCCCTAGGAAAGACTGGAACTTTTATTATTAACTTAGATTTTGTAAGTAATTTTATTGCTGAACCTTAGGAAATGGGTATAAATGACAAATATGTACTTAAATATTTATTTAACTGAGGTTTAACTTTGTGAACATAATTTATCAAAGGGTGGGTAAGTTTGGAATATAAATATTTGGTTCAATGTTTTGCTCTTGGGGTGATTCTTCTCACAAGGGAACTGTAAGAATTACTTCTTTTGGTCTTATAAAGCCTAAGAGGCATGATCATGGTAGGTCATATTTTTGATTTCTTTTCCTTAGTAAAATATTTATGACTTCACTGTTGTTTCCTTGAGCCTTTATAGACTCCAAGTCTAGATGTAATTCTTTGCTTATAGTATGTAAAGGCTTTTCTGTGAGGAATTGAGCAGGACTGCATTGGTATCTGGATTTTTGTACAGCAGTGGACCTTTTCTTAGTATCTTTGGGAATTTCTTTAAAAGGATCTCTCCTAGACATTTTTTTCTTGTTATTTAATTCTCTTAAAGATGCTATAAGAGATACTATCAAGATAAGGTATTATTTTGATTTAAATCAGCATATTAAGTTCACTTTTGAAGTAAAGATTGGATAACAAATAATATGAAATTAGAGACTTTCATTAAGAGATAATTTTTTTCAGTTAATTTAAAATTTCCCTGTATGTCGCAGAATGGTCACTAACTTGGCCATGGTCTCTTTAAGTGACAGTAAAGAGTAGGATGCTATTTCAGAACTTAGTATCAAAATCATTTACTTTCCTCAGTCATGGTTATTGGTTATTCATATTTGATGAGCTATAAATTTTTTTTCTGATAATTAGGACAAATTTGAAGGGTTATATGATTACCTATTGAGAAACTAGATCATAATATATTACAGAACAGAAGCCCTCTGTCACACAATTCATTAACGTTATAGAGGATGCAGTGTCTAGAATGAGAGTTGGATGCAACAGATACGGAAACAAACTTGGGAAGAAGCCTGTACTGAGTTAGGGTTGGCATTGTGGTGTTGTCAGAGGTGCAGTGGTGATGCCACATGGCCAGTGTGGTGGATTCTATGAGTTGCCTGTATCGGTACTGATTTTTTTCTTTCCAATAGCAACCATTGATATTTTTTTACTAAGCATTCTTGTAGCTGCTCCAGTCAATAAGCCATGTTTACCTGGCTAGTGTGGCTCAGGGCTTTAGGGATTGATGAACTTCATGGCCTTAAGGAAGTGTCATTGTGTCTTATTTCTCTTGCTGTGAGTTTCTTTGGAAGTCTGAGAACAGTTGGGTCAAAGAGTATTTGTGAGGAAAGTTTTGTTGTAAAACTCACTGTGAGGATTTGGAACAAATTAAACTTCTTAATGTTAGGGGGCTGGGGATTTAGCTCAGCGGCATAGCGCTTGCCTGGCAAGCGCAAGGTTGTGAGTTCGATTCCCGGTCCTGGAAAAAACAAAAAAAACAAAAACAAAAACAAAAAAAACTTCTTAATGTTAGAATGCTTGTAGGAGTGTGCAATTGATTAGTAGTTAGAATACTAGAACTGTGTATTCCTATTCATGAGGGAACAGGATATATCTTTGTGCTAACACTGTAAGAAATGGAATGTCCTGAAGAAAAAATATTCAACATAAAAACTTAATATCTACTGCAGCAGAAATTTGCCTGAAATTGATGATGTTAAAGTAGTTAATACTGGGTATAAGTGAAAAATACAGTGCTCTTGATTCAAATCAACATATCTGAACTTCATGCTTTAGGTAAACATTAGATAGGCAATAATATTAAATGAGAGTTTGGAAGCTCATATAGATAGGCACTTTTTCTTCTCATTAAGTATTTTGATTAAACTATCCCTTTGGGAGGAATAGGATGTCACCATCTGCTGTGTGAACTTTGTAGGAATGTTGAATGGTAAACAATAAAGTCCAGGTATTTTCTTTTTAATGGGTTTCAGTTGTGAAATATACTTAGTAACACCACAGAAGGATGATGTTAAAGGTTTAAAGCCAAACACTAGCCATTTGTCGTATCCCAGACTTCAAGGTACCTGTGACCAAGCTTCATTAATTCCTTGATTGTCTTAAGGTGGGAACTGTTCATGATCATTCAGTAACTAAGTAATAAGAGTCAGTAGGTAAGAAATTTTAACCATGCAGTTCTTTTAAGACTTGTTTTAAAAGTAAACATCTCAGATTTTTTAGAATTAGGGTCTTAAATTCTCTTCTTTAAAATTTTATTCTTAAGTCTCTCAGGAATCTCCTGAATAGGAAAATAAATTTTTACTGAACTTTGCCTTGAGGCTAATAGAAAAATGTAGTTTTTGGAGTCAGAACGGAAACAAAATCCTTATTTTTCTTCTAGAAACTACTTCAGTGACTTAGGGCAAGTTACTGAAGTTTTCTGAGATTGAATTTTATTATTTGGAAAATGAATATAATCTGATTCCTAATTAAAAATGTACATTTAAGTGCATACTGTTTTGGACACTTACTAAACATTTATCTTTAATTTCTTCATCTGACGACCTCTGCCATCACGCATTTGCTAAGTTCTTAATATACATTATAGGCACTTTTAATTCATCTTGCTTTCCTTTAATTCATCTGCCCTGACTTCAGTTTCATGTGTGTGTCCCTATGGTGATACATAACACAATGTGTTGCAACATTTATAATGAAAGATATATGTAAATTATTTTGCATTATTATACCTACTAATGTTTGTGAGTACAGTATGTTATCTGTCCTTCTAATATACAGTAGTATACCACTTTTGTTTTTGTTTTTTTTTCCCCGGTATCAGGAATTGAACTCACAACATTGCGCTTGCCAGGCAGGTGCTGAGCTGCTGAGCTAAATCCCCAGCCCCGTAGTATACCACTTGTTAAAGGTTCCTTTCACTTGCCTTGAATGTACATTTGACATATAAAATATTATATGGAAATTAGATGACTTATTTCAAATCATATTTAGAGTGTATGTGATATGTGGGAGTTTGAGTATATACTGTTCCATTTAAAAATAATTACATAAATGAAAACAGCATTTCACTTGAGAAGATACTCTAAATTTCAGGAACACTATTAAAGGCTTCTATTTATATAGACCAATTCATAGTGAGAGGTTAGGCACAACAATGGGAGCTAGTGACCTTTGATGAGTAAAAAAACATAATAGCAGCAACCATTTAAAAGTACATTTTAGGGGCTGGGGATTTAGCTCAGCGGCACAGCGCCTGCCTGGCCAGCGCAAGGTCATGAGTTCGATTCCTGGTACCGGAAAAAAAACCAAAAAAAAAAAAAAAAATTTTAGAAACTGGTAAACCAGAAAGATACACAAATCATACATTGGAACTCTTGTTTGATTTTATAAAAATTATTGTCCTCCTCCTTGTTATCTTCATTTTAATATTAAAACATAACTGTTATTGTCAGCTAAACTGGTACTGGAGAAATTAACTCTACAACCAGTCTATTGTGCAGTCTGTTGTCAAATCAGTTGTGGTCTTCTGCAGAAACAGGCGGTGAGGGAAAGTCAAGAATAGAATGTGGTTAGTCAGTGTGCCCGTGGATGACATTATTATCCGGGATAAAATCCTTCAGATGACCTCTCTTCTACCTCCAGTTTTGTCATAGATTTTGCTAAACTGACCCCTAACGTTTGTACGTGGAAGTATGTACTGATGTTTTCTTATATCAACAGTATAGAGCTAAACTTACAACACACACTGACTGCCGTGATCACCAGTGTTGTAATGTGAGTGTTCGCTAAATACTGGGTCGTTAATGTTTCTTTTCAAATGGAAACAAAACTGAATGATTAGACGAAATATTTAGGTGTTTCCAATTTATGGTCAGCATGCAGCTAAGTGAATCCAGTTATCTATACATGACCAAATTTTGATGCTTTTCTGAATAATCTATGTTGTGTTAAAGGATGTGTTCACTTAGTATGAAAATAAAGGACAGTTTGGAGTAGAAAATATTTGAAGAAACTAAATAGAGTTTAAAAACATTTTAAACAGAAAAAAGTAAAAATAATAATAAAACAGTTTCAAAACTGGCTAGTAGGAGAGTAACGACAGTCAATACATTGCATATTGTTATATTCACAGTAGTTGTTCAGAGTACAAGATGTAGTCAAGAAACATAGTCCAAAAAAATACTAGCACAAAACTTTCCCCTCAGTGAACCAAGAGAAGCCAGCTGTATAACTATTTTAATTATTTGTGTGTATGTATATACATATATATATATTTTCCTTATTCCTTCTTTCCTTTCCCCTTTCTCCCATCACAGTTTTTCTTTTCTTTTGAGAAGTTTCTTCCTTAGTCACAATATCTGTTGTACATTTTGGATCTTGTTTACTCTTTCAGTTTCTCACACTAGTGAGAACTAAGTGGAGTATATATAGTTTCCAAAGTTCAAGCTTACTTTAAATTGAGGCATGTAGAGTTTTTAGCAAGGGTGCTATTTTTTTTTAAATTCTCTTTTTCATTTGTATAGAAACTAATTTGATGAATATTTGATAACTGTTATATCTATGTTTAAATAATAATTGTTCCTCATATGTTGCTCTGTGCTCTCTGTGAAAGTAATGGTAGGCATTACCCATGGGTAGGAGTACCTATTCTTGTCCAGATGGTGTCCCTCACAAATTTTGTTTGTAGTGTAGTCAATCCTTTGAGTTTTGTGTACCGCTTCCCTTCAGTTCATTAATAACCTACATTTTGTCTCTAACCAGAATTTGTTCAAGTAGAGAACTTATATGACTCCCAGAGATCTCTGAGAATTAAAAAAAGTTGGTATTTTTATTTTAATGATAATCTAAAAGTTTCTATAGTTTAAAAGATATTTTATATATTTACTAGTTTCTAAAATGAGTTGTTTCCCTGAATCCTCTAGTGGTAACTGATGACTTTTTCCTTCCTTAAGTATCATTGTTAATTCACAATTATATGCATACTTGAAATGCTTTAACCCTTTGCATTAATAATTCTTTGATGCACAAATTGTTTCATCTTTGTGTAGAGGGGGCCTACTCACCTTGATTCTTAACTCTGAAAGCATGTCTTGATCTGAATAAACAACCTTATGTGCTTGCTTCGGCAGCACGTATACTGAATAAACAACCTCACAAACAAGTGTTCCATTCAAGTTCAGAGCCCAAGCTTTACTTGTATTAATACTGTTGCATAACACTGATTCATTTGTTGTAGTATAAGATCAAAAGAAGTAAAAGAACTAATCTGTAAATGATGTATTTATATTCAGATGAAGTGAAAATATATGTGAGAACAATCCCTGTGCCTGTTTTTATACTGCTTCAGGTAGGGGAAATGGGTGAAATGGGAACATCACTTGATGTGTGGTGAGGTAGGAGTATTAAACTCAACAAAATCTGTACCACTGCAGTCAGTACCAAATTTCAAATTGTGTATTGATTTGGTTTAGCAAAGTACTATCATCTATTCTAGAAAATTGTTAAATTGAGTTTTATTGTATCTTTTGTTTCTAGTTAATTTTAAGTTTGGTTTGGGTTTGTACGTAGTTAGGAGTTATGATCCTAATGAGTTTAAAGCAATTTTTATGCATTTTATCATTTGGGCTTTGAACACCAGACTGTACATCCCCAGTGAGTTAGGGTACATCTTTTTTATAGTTTTGAAATTAGGTTATCAGCTTGTTTTTTTTTGTATTTTTATCTTGTTTCTGAAATGATTAATTTTCCAATTCTTTTATTCCTCCTAGGTTTTGATGTTATATTTCATTTCTCTTGTTTGACAGTATTTTTCTATGAGTCCTCCATTGGTCTTTTTTTTTTTTTTTGGTGTGTGTGTGTAAGGGAAAATTCATTTTATTAAAAAACTTTTAGTTCCAGCTTAGGTTTTATTAGTAAATACACCCATATAAGAAGGATATTGGCAAGTTCTAGTCTTGGCATTAGTAAACAAGACTATTTTGGATCAATTTTCCTGCTGAGAACAAATAGGTGAAAAAATAAAAAAAATAAATATAATCAACCCATCAGAGTCCTGCTATGACAGTGAAGAATTTTGTATTAAAGATCTGGTAAAAGATAAGTACAGAAGGATAAGTCCCTTGGTTGGGCCTTGTACTCTTTTAAGGTGATAGCTGATTCCAAAGAAGTGCCTTAGAAGTGGAGAAATTAGGATGAGAATTATCAGTCAACTCAAGAGGCTGCCAAAACCAGAGTTCTGAAACCCTCCTGCTTTTTAGGCTGTCTGGTCTTCTTACCTATTTTTTCAGCTTACATTATGCTCCAGGTAGGCTTTTTGTTCTCGTGGCCTTCTTTTGTATATGTCTGTGGACTGATAGGTGAGTCCTATGCCTGAGGAATATAGTAAGGCGGGTGGTGTCACATATAAAATCTTAGGGAAGCAGGTAACAGTGGGATGTGAAAAATATTAGTCTTTTTTTCTTTTCTTCTAGAAATGAGAGGAACAAAAGAGGTAGATTCCTGAAATTCTAGTTCTTTTGATCTACATTGTTTTAGCCTTAAAACAACCTTGGAAACAGCTAAAATGAAAAAGGATTTGCTTCTTTTGTGACTCCTATTCTGTTTAGCCTGTGCTTTTGTGTCAATGGGGGATTTCTTTATGTAGGGTTTCCCAAATTACCCAATTTAGTCTCTCCATAAATGTTGGTTCTGCCTTTTAATCCTGGCCAAATTTAGGGCACCTTGTCTTTTGAATCAGTTCTTTTAAACATTCTATTTAAAAAGTTTTATACGAGTTGTTTTATTGATCCATGCAATGTTTCAAAAATTATTATTTACTATCATCCTTGGATAAGATATTGAGACCTGAAGTTTTTCAGCAATTCAGACTGAGCTTTGATTATCAGACTGTACATTCCCAATGGATGTGGATTTTCCTCAGCTTTAGTCTTTATTCCCTTGGCATTACTTGAATCTTCTCAGGTCTTTAGGTATTGTATAGCTCTGGACATAATTCTCAGTATTTAGCATGTTTTTATTTAAAATCGCTCTTTAGGTCTAAAAATGTGTATTCCTGTCTACTGCTTGCAGATTCCCTAATCATCTGAAGAGAGCATTTGGATGACAGTAATCTCTAGTGGGAGCTGACAGTCTAACATCTATCTCAACAGTCTTCTAGGTTTAGAGGTCTTTGAATGAATGAAAGTCACATTCTGATACAGAGTTGGGCAGTGTACATTGTTTCATAACAGCTAGCCCTGACAGTGTTCAGTTTTCTGTTCATTAGAGATCTGGGGTCTGCAAGAATGGTTAGGCTCTCTCTCTGTCTTCTTTTGCATGTTTTGTTTTATGTTTCTTTGTCTGCGTGATATATCACTTATACTTCGCAGTCTTACAGTAGACATTTTTTCCATGCTCTATCAGTAGGAAGATAGCATAGGTAGTGAGAGATGCCATTTAAAACCAGATGTTAGCATGAGTTTTAAAATGTTTATGTTTACTATTTTTATATTTCCCTATATAACTTAGTTCAGAATGTCTCTGATAGTTTATTTTCTCGGGGAAGCCAGATATTTTAAAATTTGTAGTGTATTTATATTTGGATGTTGTTTAAAAAGACTAACTCTCCTTTCATTATATTCTGCAATATAGTTAAAAGAAAACTTGGAACAATCAATAGGCCAACTGCGGAGTCAACGTTTACTGAGAAACTCAGGAAGGAGAAGTATGTCTGTTACAAGTCTGACTGCAAGTGACTTTGATGCTGGAGCTATGGCAGGTAAACTCTTCAAATGTTCTGAAAATACTGTGTGTAAAAGATTTCTGAAGTACATATTGAATACCTTTAATCCATGGAGAAATACACATTTAGATTAGGTATTAGAACATGTAGTTGTCATGGATTTTATATTGTGTATTTAGAAATTTATTAAAGGGTCTTTGTTTTCCTGAGTCTATTTGTTTTAGTTTTTCTGACTCTGTAGATTACCTGGAGCTTTACTAGAGAAAGTTTTAATTGTAATTGTTTGTTGCCAAAGAATCAAATAAACAAATAAGATCTACTATATATGTTTTTTAGGTTAGTGATCTTGTCCTAGTGTAAGAGTGTTCCAGATGTCTGATTATGTACTATTGTATGACATTTGTTAAGAACAGATGAATTTTAGCGTTGGTATACTGCTAAATGTTAATGCTTAGATTAAAAGTTACAAAAATGGGGGCTAGGGATTTAGCTCAGCGGCACAGTGCCTGCCTGGCAAGCGCGAGGTCGTGAGTTTGATTCCCGGTACTGGAAAAAAACCAAAAAATAAAACAAAACAAAAAAAAGTTACAAAATTCTGAGTTTGTCTATAGTTAATCTTACTTATTCTTTCCTATAGCACTGAGATTCATGTTTGAGCAGAAGAGTCTTCAGTAAGCGGAGCTGATTTAGACAGATTGAACATTAGTACCTTACATTATTAATACTGCTGTTGATCATCATAAAGATTAAAAGTTGGACATGATCATTTACTTTTTAAGTATTTAGTTGGGTTTTACTGACTTTTTATACACTGTTTAGAATTTAGATTAATTCCATGCAACATTCTGATTCATTCATTGGTATTAAGTTATATTTTAGGGAGAGATAAAGTTTTTTAAAAAATGTAATTATTTTAATTTAAACATATTCCCGTTTTTGAAAAGCAAAAACTTGGACTATTTGGCATGTTCCGTTTCTAGGTTAGTTCTTTTATTCTGTTTTAAGAGCCAGGTTAGAACCAGAATTGTGGAATTTTATGGGCACAGCAAGTTGAACACTTGGGAAACAGTGTAAATTAAGGGTATGTGTGTATCGACATTTGGTGTGCTTGTACAAAGTCAAATTTTGGGTAGTTGCTTTTTTTGCATTGTTTTAAATTCTTTCCTTACCTTTCAATTGCAGAAGGTTACCGTTTTCCTCCAGCCTCACCTTTCAAGGACTATGATCCACAGGGAAATAAAAGAATTAAGTCCAGAATTGGTGTCCGGTTTGGGCGGGAGACTGACGACATGACCCAGGTACTTTGTACCATTCTGTAATTGATATGGAGTGTTTCCTTACATTTCTATGTAGATGACTAAAATTTGAACTTTGCATCATATTTTAACTAAAAATTTGTTTACAGAGACTTTGTAGATCTTTATTTTAAATCAGGTAAATTATTTTATTTTTTGTGCTCTGAGGTTTCTCATACATTTATTTTGAGTTTTGTTATAGATAGTTATATTTTGAAGATTTAAAAATGAATTTGGCTGTACATGTTTAATCCTTCCCTATGCAGATGGCTCCCTCTTTTGAAAGCCCTGTTAAGTCAGCTACTTCCCATTTTGCTAAATTTGAAGTTGTGAACAAATTAGTCTTTGTGTAGTTGACCTATCGATTTTCCCACCATTAGTATCTTCCTGATTGTTTTTTGTTTGTTTTGTTTTTTGAGATAGGTCTGACTGTACAGTTGAGGCTGATCCTAAACACTCTGTGCAGCCCCTCAAACTTGCAGTGATCCTCCTGCCTCAGCCTCTGATGTACTGGGATTACAGGCGTGCACCACCATGCACCGCCTTTTTTTGTGATTGTTGAATCATTGAGAGAGCTGCTGTCTATTGATTCTATACTTTATTTACTCACTAACGATTTCTGAATACTCAGTTCTATGGATGTATTTCTTTTTTTGCATCTGTAAAGTTCTTTGAAGAGCTGAGATTTTTTCTTTTATTGTCTTAGTTAATTAACTTAAAAGAGTTGGGGACGTTTCTGATTTAGATATCTTTGTTTTGGCAGTTTTAAGATTCAGTGCTACAGTTTTGTTCTTAGGATACTCATCTGCTCCTTTCATTTGCTGTAGCATAAAATACAGACAGAACACAACAAAATAAGCTCACAACTACTTTGTAGAAAGTTTTCTTTGACATTATTATTATTGTCATTATTTTATGGTTTTTAGTGGAGACAAACTCTTGCTCTGTATTCCAGGCTCCTACTGAGGGGGTAGGTTTAAGAGCTATTTAATGTATTAAACTGAAAGATCTCGAAATCAGATACTCAAGTGAGGAAGGTAGAGATGAGTGACACGGAAACATAAAGGATGAGTCCTAAGATTCTGCTTTGTAAAATTGATGCTCTGTTTGTCCACTATACTCCCTCTGCTTTGTTTTTATTGTTCTTCCTTATTTGAAGTCCATTTTCTTTTTCTTTTAAGTCCATTTTCTTAACGTAACTCTTAACTCCCCTTAGCCGTGTGCATTCTTCATGCCCCAGTAAAATTTGTAGCTCATTTACATATCTGTCTTTCGTTAGGTTAGGGGCCACTTGGTTTCCTAGCAGGTCCTGGCACTGACTGGTTTCTTACTGTGTATATGTTTAAATGAATCATTTTTTCTTCATATCTGGGTAATGTAAGCGTTTATATTATAAATTATGTTATGCATGTACATATATAGCACATATATTTACAGGTAAAAGTCTAATAATGAGTAGAACTAAAAATAGAATAATGTGTCCACCACCCAAAACAAGAAATGGAGCATTATCCCACCCTCAATCCTCTTTTATGTTCCTTCTTTCCCCAAGGAGTATGCACTGTTCTGACTTTTATATACTTTTATATGACTTCTATGATTTTTTAAAAATCATTTTTACTACATCTTAATGTTGCCTGCCTTTAAACTGTAGATGAATGGAATACTACTGAATATCATTTCGTATAATTTGCTATGTTTCTGACATTTAGTCTTGCTGATTTCATGCTCATAGCTATATGATATTCTAGTAGAAGAAAATACTAAAATTTATGTGTATCCTGCTCTTGATGGGCTTCTGAGTTGGGTTTAGCATTGTCATTGTGAACAGTGCTCTTTCATGCCACCTTGTGTGTGGTTCTTATGGTGTGTGTGTGGGAGCTTCATGGCCATGGAGGTTGGCACATACGGTGTGCGTACTGACCAAGTGGAATCTTACTGTAACACAGCTACGCTCATTTGTCTGTGGTTAGTTGCACAGTGACAGACTTGGGTGGCTGTGATGGAGGCAGAAGGAATTGGCTGGCCCCATATGTATAAGGAGGAGAACTGATGTACTGTGAAGGCTGTCATAGTTCGTGGTGTATATAGCTTTTCAAATTGCTTTTCTCTGAAAAAATTTTTTTAGGATAAGTGCTTATTTATACTTATTAATATCATTAGAGACTTTGGTCAGTGTGTAAAGAGCAAGGATTTAATTATGTAATATGTAAGTATTAGAAATTGTATTGCTGATCAACTCTGTTTTATGAACATTTCTTAAGCATTTATAAATAGAAGTAACTTACTAGAATGTCTATGTATTTCTCTTAAGCACTGTTTTAGGAAAATTCTTGATTTCACAAGTTTGAGCAAACACCTACCGTTTGGATTATGTGCTATTTGTAGACCAATTTAACATGTAACTCGTAGTCTTTGGATTTAACACATTATACTTTTTGTTTTTCTTTGCTTTATTATGAGAGAATGTGAGATTATTTACGAAATTTTGTGCTGAGTGTACTATAGCAAGAATAACAACAACAACAACAACAAAAACCAGAAATAACAACAAGGATTTATTCTTAACCTTTCATGACTCTTCATGGAGGAACCCAGCAGATGCCTTTAATGGTGACTGTGCTTGCCTTGCCAGCTTCATGCTTTTCATCAGTCCCTCCGAGACCTCAGCAGTGAGCAAGTTCGCCTCGGTGAGGATTTCAACAGAGAGCTCTCCAGAAGGAGCCGGTAAAAGCAGACTATGGTTTTTAGGGGAGGCAGGATTTATGAAAAGAATAAGTTGATTTCTCTAACTGACATGTTTACATAGATTTTTAAAAACAGCGCTGTTTTTTATTCAAGTATTTAAAAAATTTTTAATGGAATAGTTCAGCACTCTTGCAATTTATAAAATGTCATCATTCAGTGTTGGACAAGTTAGTTTCATATTGGGGCTGGGGATTTAGCTCAGTGGCAAAGCGCCTGCCTGGCAAGCACAAGGTCGTGAGTTCGGTTCCCGGTACTGGAGAAAAACCAAAAAAAAAAAAAGAAAAAAAAAAAAGTTAGTTTCATATTTTAAAAACGCTTGAATACAATGGAATGCTGATATTATGGAGAGATACATTTTGAAATCTTAGCAAAGAGGTAGATTTGGAAACACTGGGGAGGCAGGGGTTCGGGGAGACAGACCAGACAGACATAATGTCAGAGAACAAGATCAAATCTGACTCGCTAACTTCAGCTTTGCAGAGCAAAACATTTATGATGTAGAATTTGTCAGTGGACATGAGCCATTATACAATTTAATACCTTTGGTTTTGGTTGAGTCTTTGAAAGCCAGTGGTTAAGCCTGTCCTTTACAGTTTTGTCAGTTACAGATAGCTCCTAAGAATGGTCTTATACTTTAGAATTCCTCACTATATTTTAATTTTTATTGTCAACAGTAGAAGTCTGTTTTATTTTTGAAGTCCATAAACTCCAAAGATTTTTATGCCTTCTTAAGAGGTGCAGTCTGAATACATTTATGAGTAGGGGATGACAGAGCTGAATTAAAAAGCTTGTTTACCGTGTTCACTTGCTAATTCCAGCTACCTGAATCATATCATGTACCATTTCTACATTGTTGCAGCAGAGTCTAAACTATAACTGTTAAATTTATAAAGTATAGCTTGTACAACTTACCTGATTTTAGAGGAGGAAGGCAGGAAATTTAGTAATAAACATTGGACTCTACTATTACTAGTATTATTGATACTATTAGTTCACATTATTGAGCACTTATTTCATGCTCTGCAGATTAAAGTTTAACTCTTGCGAGGACTCTGAGCTAGAAGGGGCAACAGAGATGAAATAACTCCACTTGTTGTAGATGGAACATGACAGATGTAGTAGAATTACAATTCACATCCAGGCAGTAAAGCCTTAATGTCTTTGCTTTTTACCACGTATTACATATTGTGCCATATTATTTTCACAAGGTGATATCAATAAGGCATCTAAGTTGCTGAGTTGTGAGCCATATCATTAATCTTTAAACTTGTAAGACTTAATTTAATACTTAGATTTTTTTAACCAGTTGATGAAATTAACAAAAGGTACTAAAAGTATAAGGTAGTACATTATTCATTTGGAATGGTTTTATCAGGTAGCTTTTACACTCTTGATGGAAGGGTCTAAAGTAAGCACTAGGAACATGCATGGATGATTTAGTTGATTGGTTTAAGTAGTCATCTGAATGTACGTTGTTGTCCTGGGATGCTTCAGATCTACAGGCTGGTACCATCTATTCAGAGTCTGTGTGACCAGGGGCACAGGTAAAGCAGGGAAACTTTGTGTAACCCAAAATACAAAGCAAGTTTCTTGTGAAAACAAGGTGGTGTACCTTTGTGGATGAGTAGGGTTTAGTTTTCGAATTGATCCTGAAAGGTTGGTATTCGCATTTAATTACTTCATACTTTTTTTTATAGTGACTGCAGAAAGTCTATTGAATTGTAAAAATCTGCTGCAAAGCAAGCTTTTAGAAAGGATTAAATAAAATTTACTTCAGAATTTAATCTATAGTGAATACCTTAGGAAGAACTGATTTGAGGGGGGTGAGTAGAGGTCTGTTGGATTAGCATGTGAGACTTGAAGGTAACTTGACCAGGGTATGACATGAGCAAGGAGTGTGTTTTAAGACTTTTTTGGTGGATCAGAGAGTCAGGATTTGAGGATGGATTGTGTGTGAGGATGGCAGTGCTTCTTCCTGATTGGGGAAGCTGAGTTGTGGAAAATAAATTTGATCTTGGATATGTTAGGTTTGAGATGCCAATGAGGCATCCAAATGGAAATACAAAAAATGCAGCTAGATGTTTGTTTTGGATCTTAAAGGAAAAGTTTCAGAGATAAAAGAGAGATCAGTATGTACAAGTGATGTTTCAGACCGTGAGAATGGATGATGTAAAGAGAGAAACTGTAGAGAAAGCAGCATGGACAAGGCTGAGTGCTAAGGAATTCTAATATTCAACAGTTTTATGTAGAAGGAGAATCTGACTTGAGAAAGATCAGCTAGTGAAATGTGGGAAATCCAGGAGGACATGGACTGTAAAAATCAAGAGATAAAAATAAACATGTTTGTAGAGATTTACAGTTTAGAAAATTTGCCTTTTAAAGTAATAACTTCTTTCTGAGGAATTTGCCTAAGGACATATAAATAAAATAAGATTGTAACCAAGAAAGAACATACGTATTGTAAGAAACAGTAAAACTATCCTAGGAAATTAGTGAAAGTAACACCAGAATGACAGAATAGCAGGCCTGCAGAGTATTCACTCTTAACTAGAGAGGAAAGAAAATGTCATTTGACAAGAACTTAGTCAAAGAGATTGATATAGATTGTTCATAGATGGATGATTCAATAAGAAGTCGTAGGAAAGCATCAGTGGACATGGTAAATCAAGCCAAAAGACAATAAGAAACTAGAGAACAAAGGCACAAGAAAGTTATAATATAAGCATGAAGCTAAAATGTGAATTTGATAGAATGAACAAAAAGACATCACTTTGACTATTATTGAATAATTCATAGGGAATATAAATATATTATGTAAAATTATACAAACAACCAGTAGTACTAAAAATAGCTATAAATTTATCTAGTGTTGGACGGTAGTGTGAGCTAAGGACTTCAAAACAAGGAGTCAGTTGAAATGTTTAGAATTGAAATTGATAAAGATAACAAAGTAATTAAGGATGGAAAAGGTTGTACAGTACATGGTTGCCAGTAGGAAGTGGGTCCAGAGGTAAGGAAATGTATGAAAGTGTTTTTTTTGTTCATAAGGCCTCCTCTACAATTTAATTGTTTTTCATGTATGCTATTAATTTGGTGGGCAGATGAGGCTAGAGCTAGACACAGGGTATGAGCTCAGGGTCCTCTTACTGTAGCAGTGGTTCTCAGAACCAGGTCTTCATGTCTGCGGTGTCAGGTACGTTTGCAGAAATGCACATTCCTGGGCTCTGTTCCAGATTTACTGGTTCAGAAATTTGGGGTTTGGGGTCTATCCCTGTTATGGCCAACCCTGTAGGTGTTTTTGTGTTTGCTATGTGAGGACCGCTGTAGCCCAATACCATATATGTTTCAATTATATTGTAAGTTTGGCTACTTCTGCATGTTTTCTGCGGTATCCAATTTAAAATCTTTTTTTTCCTTTTCTTTTCCTTTTTTTCTTTCTTTCGCTTAGGTCGGATGCTGAAACAAAAAGGACTTTGGAAGAACTGACTGAAAAACTTAATGAAGCCCAGAAACAAGAAGTGGTGAGGACCCTTTGTTTATTTTTTCTTTTTTTAAATATTAATTAAGTTTATGGGTACATTTTAAATACACATAATGATCTTTGTACCTGTACATGACTTATCTCAGTTCCTTTGTTTCCCATCCCCTTATCTTCCTTCCAATCCCTCTTCCTCTCCTTATTTACAAAAGCTTGTTTCTGTTTTTTCTTCTTTACTGAGTTTTCCCCACTTCTTTGGTTTCCACCTCGCCTTCCCTAGTTTCCTTCCTAATTGAGTATTTTCTACCTATTTTATGATACTCAGTGTGTGTTCTGGTCCTTTATACTTCCAGTTTCTTGTACCAGGAAAAACAATGCAATATTTAAACCTGTGTGTTGGATTTAGTTCACTTAAGCTTATGGTTTCAAGGTGCATCCCTTTACCTATAAATGTCTCAAGTTTATCCTTCTTTACGGCTGAGTATTACTCCATTGTATAAAAAGCACATCTTTATGCATTCATGGGTTGATGGGCACTTGGCTGTTTCCAACATTTAGCTATTACAAACTGTGGTGCTATAAGCATGGGTGTGCATACGTTGCTGTTATGTGATGTTTTTAATTCTTCCAGGAAGATACCAGAAAGGGGAATAGCTGGGTCAAATGGAACCTCTAGTTTTAGTTTTTTAGAGCTATCTCCACACTGATTTCCACAGTGATTACACCAGTCTACACTCCCACCAATAGTGTAGAAGGGTTCCTTTTTCCCCACAGCCCTGCCAGCATTTGTTACTGGTTGATTTGTTGAAAATAACCACTTTTTCTGGAGTGAGGTAGAATCTCAGTGTTGTTTTAATTTGCATCTCTCCAATGACCAGTGATGCTGACCCTTTGTTTATAAAGAGCTTTATTTCACTTGTAGATGAGAGGAAGGTGCCTGCACTTAAAATCACAGTGAAGATTAGCAGGGTTTAATCTTTTCAGTGTTAATGCCATTGTGTCTAAAAATGTTCTTGTATTCTCTTCAAATGCTCATAAATTTTAGAAATTTGTTTGAAATGTAGTAGAAGTATGTAGTACTGTATTACAGATACAATGAAATTTTATAACTTTTAAAAGTTTTATGGACATTTGAAAGATGTAAATGTTATTGGCTCAGTGATTCTTCTGCAGTTTTTATTAAACGATGTTTAGGAAGTGTGGTATGCTTTTTGTAGTGACTCTGTAGCATTTCTCATTACGTATTTTCAGGTCATCTCACATAAATATGTAAGAACAATTGCCAGGAAGACCTTCTTGCTGTCTGTTTTTGTTTGATAGGTGCTAGTTGGTAATTCCCTAATTCCCAAGTTTTATTATCTTTTTTTTTTTTTTTTTTTTTTTTTGTGGTTTTTCTCCGGTACTGGGAACCGAACTCACGACCTTGCGCTTGCCAGGCAGGTGCTTTGCCGCTGAGCTAAATCCC